AAAATCAAAGTAAAATAATAAAATAAAAGGGCATTAATAACAAAAGTAATAAAAAATAAAATTAAAATAAGTTTATAGCCAAAATAATTAAAGCCCGTACACTACATCAGATTTTAATCAGATTGCGCTGTTGAGTGCCTTATCGTTCCCGCTTACAAAGACGCAGCGTTTGAAATGTACAACAACGTCGTAAACCATTACGAAACAGCATCGGCTGTTGCTAAGTAGCCATCATTTCTGTTTTTCGATAGTTGTCGTACGAGCAGTTCACGTCCAAATTCGTTGTAATAGCAAAATATATGCTATGTGGAGAACAGATAGGAGTTTAATATATATAATAGAGTTCACTGCTAGTCAAGGTGTGCTTGTTCAAACAGTCTTAACACGTGATAAAAGATGAGAATAAAAGCTGATTGTAACTTAATTTGTATGTAAACATCACAGTAGACGTTAAGCCCTTGAAGGTCACATATGATGAACTTTCTTGGGGGAGATTATTATAATAATTCTTTCGAAAAACAAATCATTTAAGTAGTTGTCATTGACAAAATATGAGGCATAATATATTTTTTTCCCTTTTATATGACAACAATACACCCTGAACATTCCCGGATAAATGGCTTTTCGGAGTCGTACAAAAAAACTATTTCTTAGTTATTATTAGCTCTGAGATTATAATTCATTCTTTCATTAATGCTTCCACTCTTTCATTCATTCATTCAATCGAATGATTCATTCATTCATGTAGTAACCATCCAATGTTTTGAACTATTGTATTTCAGATAGCTACGAGGAATTGCTCGATAAAAAATACGGGATAGACGAGTCAGCATATATTGCAGATGGTGATTTTCATTGTGAATATACCGTGAATGGTTGTCAAAATGGCGGTACGTGCCTCGCCAACGGCGAGTGCCACTGCCCTTTCCGTTACGAGGGAGAACAATGTGAGAACATAGCGGGTGAGTGTTCCGTCGACCTCTGCATAACAACTTTTGTGTTGTATCTCACCATTTACATCGCTGCAAATGCATAAATTTGCCTCTATTTGGTTACGAATTCAGTCTCCGTGGAATTAAATTCTGTATACTTAATAACAAATAATAATAATGCTACATTATCCGGAAATACCTATTTAACTGTTACTAGAAATAAAACGTCACTGCCAGTTTGCCCTAGGGCGAGAACTTAAACAAGTTGAAATTAATACATATTATGCAAAGTCACTAAGGATGGACGTCACATTCAGCTGTTAGCGTTTGAATGTGTTCTGCTATGATGTGAGTGTCATTTGTGGCAGTTTACCTGATATCCAACAATAAAATGGTATGAGATGGGAAATATGGTTGGGGATGTGAATACATGCTACATCAATTTCAAGACACGGTGTAAATACATTTTGTTTCATATGAATGTACGATCAACATCTACTACATGTAAAGAGTTATAATCAATAATAGATACTACAAAATGTAATAAACTTAATGTAGGTATCTCGTGAACAATCGGTATATTACTTGTATATTATTGTCCAAGATTCAAGTTGTTCCCTCGTTACACGACTGGGAAACAATATCATTTTCATTTTCAAGACTTCGACTACTGGGATGTTGTTTTCCGTGTAAAGCACAACTTCATCGTATTATTGTGTATGATAAATGCTAGCAGGATATATTTGTTATCATTATTTGCGGTGCACAATGAGAATTAATTCAGAATACGCTGTCAGTGTTTGGTATAGTTAATAACAGTGTAATATTCATCTATACATCAATTCAGAAATGGATTGGAAATTTCTAGACAGACAAAACACATTGAGTGGCGATGACGAATCCAGCGCTAAGTTATTATCTCTGTTTTATCAAACTGATAAGATATACGATGGTGATCAGCGTGAATACTTTCTCAATGCATACCTGCATTTATATCATCGTCTACATCGACATTATGCTCTACAAATAATGAAAGAGACAGCGGTATTTACGACGCTTCTGTGATTTTATAATCTCATTCATTCAGAATGTGGCGGTCTTCCATATTTCAGACTTCCTCCCTGTAGTCGTGTTGATTCATTCGCCCTTAGCTAGACCAATGAAATAGTTGAATTTGTCCCAAATGATGTATAAATTTAGTGGACCGTATATAATGCGTTGTTGCTGCTTAATGCCAATGTATATTGTTTTAAAGTGTACTTGCAATTTGAAATGATTATGTTTCTTATTGGTGCTTGTAAATGAGACTCCCTGCCGTAACTAAATGTCGATGGATGGTTATCGGGGACATTTATCGGACCATTCAGAACATACGTTGTTATATGTTCTTCAAATATTTACTTAGATAAGATAAAATCACGACTACTGAAGTAAAACAAATATCAATTATTCATGATGTCACGTGACCAATTCCGTGACAGCACAGGCGTTGTCGGTGGATATGATGTCATTTCGGTTACCCATTGCATCATAAAAAGGTGCTCTAAAAAGATCTTAATTCAAAAACGCAAAATACGCGTACGTTGATGCTGAAATAAGAACACACATCCGTTCGACAAGAGGAGAACTGTTGTCATAGAGATCAAATGTAAATAATAATTGCGTTCTTGACATTGATTGATCTACCTGGCTAACACATCCGAGGAAGTATTAACCAGGGAAGCTAGTAATCAAATAAATTGCAAGGCGATCTATTTAATCGATGCAACTAACGTTTCAATCAGTCATAACACGTTGAGGCGATGGCAACGGTGTAGGTTACAGAGTCTACAAGTGTACGTCACGTGTCGGTCGAATTAATTTCCTGCTATCTGATGAGTTTCCGTCTCTTGTTGTCCATCTCTTAAATTAACTGATAGGAACAACAATCTACAGTGTTCAAATGAGAGTGTGATGAAAGCTTCCTGTACGTATCTTCTTTAGTATGAATTGTACATGCGTGTGTCGGTTGGAAATAGGGTTTACCACTCAAAATGTATTTTATACGACATCTAATTCAGATAACTACGCCAGCTGTTCACGGAAAATAATTAAATTTTTCTGAACGGAAATATATCTTTAACTGAAGGTGATTCAAATTGTGTCTCTCAAATAACAATGATGATGCCCCGTATTATGGTAACAACAACGATTAATTAAAATTGCCTACCGACGACTGAGTATGTACATTCAATTTCAATGCACGCTAGTTTCTAGAGAATATTACAATATCGTAATACGGGGTTGCGTACTGATTGTAGGTTTAGATTGAAACAGAGTGTATGAACGTAACAGTCGTAACACAGCCTTTGAATTGTAGTAGTTAAACGCGAAAAAAATCATAAGGCGCAAACTAGAAGCTGTGCAGCCTCTAACTATGGTCTCCTCTGTTGTTTTAAACAAAGAATGGTACAGTCTTGAAGAAGAAGAAAATAAAGAAAACAAGAAATCTGTGACGGAAATTTTGGTCATAGCCTTTGTGATAATAGTTATTGCTATAACCGGTCTCTGCGCCTGTTGTGTCTGTGTATCGCGACGAAATGCCAAGACCAGACAGCGCCACCAAATGATGGCAGCCAACATATCACTACAGCCTAAGCAAGGTATGTCAGTAGAACAAGTAATTTTATTAAAGTGGTTGCCTTGGTAATCACGAGAGTAGAGCGAATTCATGCCATCCGAGTAGTAACCTTGAATTCAGTTAATATGTATACTAGTATGTTGGAATAATTCACTCCAGCATATTACTAGGCTGTTTCACGAAAACAGATTTTCATTTTTGCTGTTTACAAATTTTTCAAATTTTATATTTTATTTCATTAGGTTAATGGAACTAATTCAAAAAATGTTACGCAGTAATTACAATTCTCTGAATTCATAAAGTTTTTTTCTCGAGACTCCACTACGTAAGGCTCTGCCTCTAATTTATGACGTATTGACGATCTCTCCATCTTCTGTTTTCGTGCCTTTGTCATGCAGTGTATTTATGCCACTTCTTTAAATTTTCTTTTCTAAATGTTTCTTTCCCAGGTTTTCAAACTTATCGTCCACATTGGTATACCCATTTTGAGAGTGTCCGCCAGAAAGAAGAAACCCGACCCAAAATTATTGTGAATGGAACGCTGGAACCAATGAATACCGCCTCTGATGCTGACGATGGTGGTCGAGCTAGAGGAAGTGGAAACTATCGCTACGATCAGCTCGAAATGAGCCAGCATGATATAGCGCCCTCTGTGCCTGCTCCACCCATACCTTCAATCAGTATATCGGCGAGATCGGGCAGAACGCAACAGAGTACCCCAACACGTCGCGTTCCTGAACTGCCGCCCTCGTACGACACCGTAACAAAACAGTACCAAACCGTCAAACTCGCCGACGTACGTGAGGATGATATGAAGTATTAACATTCATTGGACTAGTTAGTTATTTAAACAAAATCCTGCTACAAATATTATATATTTTGTTACAAGATATATCATTGTTCTTTCTGTGATGGGAAAGTAAGGGTTTAGTATATGTTCAACGACCATACCTCAGACTCACTGTGTACGGTGAAATGTTATCATGTAAATATACAATCTGCTTATACAGAACTGACGTGTTAACATATGTCTCAATCGCTTCCATTTCCGACAAACATCCCCATAAAAATAAACAAGGTGCAACAAACTTGATACCCGAAGAAACAAACACGATGCCTTCAAGACACAAACTTGTTTTCCCAATAAACAAACATGGTGCCCCACGAAGCAAACAAGGTTTCTGAAAAAAAAAACGAAAAAATGGTGTCATAAGAAAAAAATATGGTTCCCTGAGAGACAAACATGGCGCCCTGAGAAACAAACATGAAGTTCCTAGACACAGACATGGTACCACAAGAAACAAACATGATGCCATGAAAAAAAAACACGATTCCCCAAGAAACGAACACAGTGCCCCATGAAACAAGCATGATGCCCAAGAAAACAATCATTGACCCCCAAACAAAAACGGTTCCCGAGAAACAAATACAGTCCCCCCCCCCAAAAAAAACAAATCATTATAACCGTAGTGTTTAAAACATCCCTTTAAAACAATTTTCAACTTTCGATTTGAACACGCTTTCTTCTACTATATACTTTAAACACACATAGTAGTGTGGAATTTGTTTTGAAATATTTTGTATTTTATTATTTCTATATATATGACATTTATAAATGTTCCGCTATATAAAAATATGACCCAGTAAAAGTATATTTCCAATCAACACAAGTGTGTCTTTATCTTTCGGTAACAACGCGTGTTCGGAGTTCGAGTAAACAAACAATGTATTTTTCTACACAATATCGAACACTGTCGACTGTAGTCTTAGTTGTAGATACAGTCCAAAACATATTATTGTGTTAAAAAAAGTGTTTAAGTTTTTACATATAGCTTCACACTCTTAAAGTTATAGCGCTCTGTCACAGACGCAACATATTTAAACAAAGTTAAATTATCGGGAAATGCATTTTTTTGAACTCTGTGCATAAATTGGTAAGGTGGTACACAAATAACTGAAACTATTATTTTGTTTCAAAAATCGAAGCCGAAATCTTTGTGTAAATTTACCATTTTCATGAAAAATTTGCTCTGGGTCATTATTGTGCAAATTAGTTTTTCTCTCAACTTTTTTTTAGATATAGTTGGTTAAAAATGTTTCAACTTAAATAGCTCTAGAGTTTTCGCCCTGTGAAATTTCCACACTACGTCGGCGCCTAGAATTGTTCTCTAGTGGGAATGTGTTAACTAAACATTATCCGCATAATTGAACCCACTCAAATAAGTCACATCATTCACGAAATACAACGAAAAATATCAAAAGTCCCGGCCGCTTTTTTCTAGAGATGCCTAATAGTGTAGACATTTCCAATCAAGTTAAAAGAAAATTCTTAAAACTCATTTAGATGAGCAACTCCCTGTAGAGAATAACCGATGGAAATACTTACAACAGAGCTCTAAATTTGTAACAGTGTGTGAACCAACACTGACTAAATATAAGACAAAGCAAAACCATTAGGCTCCTGAATGACCACTAGCCTGCATGTATACCTTGAAGTATACACCATTTATGTCCGTAATCCGTGCACGTACACGGAATAAGACTCACGGGTATTTAACGGTGTATCAATAGTCTATTTGTTTATGTCAAAATACGTACTAGATCGCATTAATACATTGCTTGGATGGGTAAGCTTTAATCATCTCGGACCTTAGTCGTCGATAGAACATCATTAAGGAGTGTAATTGGCTTTGAATACTGCATTCCTGGAGACAATTAGTAACCTCTATATTGCCATGACCCCGGCAAACGATTCAAATCAGTAATAACAAAACCTACTACAACTACTCTACAAGCTCCCACTTCAATCAGGTCCAAGATTCAAAGTAGACACATGATCCTCGCCTGTTGTATATGTAATCACTTCTTTGAATCAGCTGATTAAAATTAGACTAATTTAGTTTTTGTCAGACAAAATGATATTCAAGTCATATTCAATTAAATACGACATTGACAGAGAGGTGTTAATTTCATCCTAAAGTGAGAACCAGGTGAGAATTATGTGCGTGGCCTTGACATAAGTATTGGTTTTATTGATTCGTGCATTTGAAGCTTAATGTACATGTTGCGAGAAATAATTTCTTGCTATCGTATACCAAAAGTAAATTGCATCAATTTGTTTCAATACTACGTCATGATATCTACAATTACCTACAACTGGGATTGTTATTTTTTTGTATTATTTATAGACATAATAATTAAATTTTAATATAATATGTGTTTATAGTTTGGAGCTCCCATGATAGTCGTTTTCAATTAATCGATGAACACCTAGACAAATAAAAGAGAACATAAACTATTTCAAATTTTCACGCAATAAATTCACATCCGATTCATTGCATAATACTGTAACCTCAATACTATTGGTAACTCCCTTACGTACGCACAAACAGCAAATGAGAAGTGTTTAGCCTTGTCTGTAGCATGCACCACTGTTTTCTATTAGTTAAATTATATCTTTTTTAATATGTAATGCTCTCATTTCTGGTTTATTGTGTCAGCGTTGGCTACAACAACGCCTCTAGAAACTTCCATGGATTCGGGATTAATGTTATTAGCCAGTGTTGTGTAAATAACTGTTTTAGTACGTTTGAATGTATCCGAAGGGAGGCAGTTTTCTTATGAGAATATCTAAAATTGGTAATAGATTGATTGAATCTGCCTTATCTCCTAGCGTTCCTAGATACAGTGAGGTTTTCAGTCGCTATCAAATATGTGTGCTAACCAGGTCAAACCAGTAGTCTAACCACAATCTCAGGTTCTGAAGTTCATCTGTTATTGTTAATTAGTGTTTTAGCGATTATATGTATTCATTACGAATATTATACAACTAGAGTAACTATACATTTTAGAATAAGCCGGTTACAGGGTACAGAGTTATAAGTACAGGGTTGTCCAAAATGACTTAAAATCGAGATTAGATCACGCGGATGACAATTTATGGGGGAGTTGAGTCAGGGAAATGATGATCCCAACAATGTAAACTTATAATCTATATCAATAATCCATAAAATCCGATAACTGATTTCTCCACGTCATCTATATTCAACACATTTTCATTTAATATCCGTCACAGAAAGAGATTTCAAACCTTTCCCTATTTCTAAGAAATAAAATAAGTCCTGTTTTTTAAGGTAAAAACAAAAAACAACCTTGTTTGCACATATGATTTAAATCGATTCAACATATAGGTGGCGCCATACTTATTCCAACTGTAATACTTCATACTGTATGCTTTATTCCAAAATATGTAAGGTCTCTCGTAAAATAACTATGTCCTTAAATTGAAATATACAAATGGTTTACCCAATACAATCACAACGTGTTAAGTGAGATTTGATTCCTGCAAATGTTAGATACGTTACTGGTTTGACAAGTCAATATTTTTCACACAATACACACAAGAGCAGAGATCTTACATGAAAGACGCAGCAGTAATTCGTCTAACTCATGGTAGGTTATTGCCATTGGCTGGGATAATCTTTGAGATTCCGCTCAGAGTACAGTGGGGTTTTTTTGGGGTTTTTTGAGCCGATGTGCTACTTCCAGTGCTACTTCACGATAGAATGGTGGACTATTTGCGAATAACTCAGCTACCGGTAACCGACAATAACTAGACTGAACACAGTTTCGAATTCGTGACGCCGAACTAAACGTTAATACTGTCGTCTATGGGAATTGTAATTAATATATAGCGGTCTTGTGTCAGTTATCGCAACATTTCTCTGCCCACTTTCCCGTTGATCTGCAGTAGATTATGCCTTCGCCCTATTTTTTTCTTAATTTTTGGAAGATTGAATACATAAATTGCGCTCGTGATGTCTCAATGACGTCTGCATTTGTGTGTTATATATGACAGGTCATAATGCGTTCACTAGATATTCCCTGTTGTGTTGGATGTACGGCCGAGAGCATTTACGCCATCTTGTCCGACAATGCGTTCATGCATTTCCCATTTCTCATCAATGCCGGTCATGTCGATATTGGTGTATAATATTCAGACAAACTGCACATTGAATACATCAATAAAACATTAAAAAACTAGGTCGTGTATGAGCACTTAGTGTCGCACACATATGTCGTGCTGTCAAAACTCGCGTAAAATATTATGCGACCTGTCACGGTCATTCGAAACACTCATTTTGTGTTTATTGTGGCGCAGACCGGCGCCCGTCTCACAATATGTGTTGGCATATTTGACGACCCGCAAAAGACGGAGACCATCTTTATATAGACAATTCTTCAATATTATCTACAGCGTCCAATGAAATGGCCTCAATTTATATTATATCATGAATTTGGATAATTTGAATCCAAAGTGGGCAACTGAAAATTATCCTTCGCGTAACGTGCAATGTAGTTACTATAATTTACCTTAAAAACCGGGGTATAGGTTTTTGTCACGCAATTCTTGACAGTCAATTGTGATATTATTGACAGATTGACAATCGAATACCTACCCTCTTTCCTCAATTATGTTTCTGGCGATTAAACTAAGTAATGTGGTTGCTTTCACCATATTGAAGTATGACACTATATTGAACCTTCAATTGCTCTACGCATTGGGTATATTGCACATGTCCAGACGTATTAAGTGATGAGAACTGAGCAGCGTTAACTCCATTTAGCATGCAAGATACGATTCATATTGTCAAAATACGAGGCCTCTGAGAGCGACGGCTCAGTGCTTTATGTACGGCTATAGAAAATGCTGCTCTCATATTACCCATGGTGATGACAACAGCAACAGAAAACATGACTGCTGTTCGAGATTTTTCAGCGAAAACATTGAATAGTTTTCTATTGTTGAAGTAAAGAAATGGATTTGCAATTGCATTATGCATTATGCGGATTTTTGTAATGGATTATATTTAAACGTGAAATCGTTCTTTGTATTTAGGATTTGATAGATATATTACAGTAGGGCAATTTGGCTCTTTCCTTCAAGCGTACCCGAGAGTACAGCGCAAAGTCCCCACAGTATCACTGCAATCAGCTATATTATTC